GCTTTTCTATCTTCTATCTCGAAAAACATCCAAGATCGTATTCTATATTCTTTAGCTATTCTTGAGCTCCAATGGCAACAAGCAATGGCCTCTGAAATTCAAGCTTTGGAGGCTAACCAAACATGGACCCTTGAAACCTTTCCTCCAGGTAAGAAGGCTATAAAGCTCGATTAGTTTCCAGGGTTTCACTTAGGCAGAGGGTCTTGATTCTCATGATACGTTTGCACCTGTGGCTAAACTTGTCACTGTCCATTCTCTCCTTGCTATAGTTGCAGCTAAACATTGGATCATACACCAGTTGGATGTTCATAATACTTTCCTCCATGGTGATCTTGATGAGGAAATATACATAAGACCCCCACCAGGGTATTGTCTTAGGGGGAGAAGCGTGTATGCCGTCTTCACAAGTCTCTCCATGGTCTCAACCAAGTATCTCGGCAATGGTATTCAAAATTATCTCACACTCTCACTCTTGCAGGTTTTAGCCAATCTTCCGCTGATCATAGTCTCTTCATCAAAACCCAAGGCACGATTTTCACAGCCATTCTTATATATGTCGATGACATTTTGGTGGCTAAGAATGATCTCTTTGCCATTACTTCCATCAAATCTCATCTTGCTCATATATTTAAGATTAAAGATCCGTGTGATCTCAAGTATTTTCTTGGAATTGAGGTTGCTAATTCTCCTACTGGCATCTTCATCAGTCAATGAAAATATACTTTGGATATTTTCTCAGACTCTGGTCAACTAGGATCACGCCCTGCTTACTTTCCTATGGAGTAGCATGTCAAACTTACTAGCTCGGATGGTAACCTTTTGGCTGATCCTAGTTCATATCGACATTTAATTGGTCGATTGATCTACTTGACCGTTTATTGACCGAATCTCACATTCCTCGTCAATGTTGTCAGTCTATTTATGCATGCTCCTCGTGTACCTCACCATCTTGCAGCTCTCCGTGTCCTCCTCTACTTAAAGACCACTCCTGGTTATGATCTCTTCTTCTTATCCACATGCAGCTTTCAACTCTCTGCCTTTTGTGACTCTGATTGGGCTAATTGTCCACTTACACGTCGATTCACCACTGGATATATCATCAACTTAGATGACAGTCCACTTTCTTGGCGTATGAAAAAGCAACCTACTGTCTCTCGCTCTTCCGCTAAAGCTGAATATCGTGTTATAGCTACCACCACTTGTGAGTTTGTTTGGATTCGTCTCCTTTTGCACGACCTCACCGTGCTCCACTCTCAGCCCACTCTTCTTCATTGTGACAACCAAGCTGCTATTCACATCGTTCGAAATCCAATTTTTCATAAACGCACCAAACACATTGAAATGGACTGTCATCTAGTTCATGAAAAAAATCGATCTTGTCTACTCACTCCCTCCTACGTCCCGACCTCTCAATAGGAAGCTGATATTTTTACTAAGTCCTAGGGACGTGAATTATTTGTTTTCTTCCGATCTAAGTTAAACATTACAGATCTCCATGCTCCAACTTGAGGGGGAGTATAACGTAGTATCACAAAATCAAGTTTATTATTTTCCTTGTATACGTTTATTCTCTTCCATGTATAGTTTATACTCATTCCATGTATAGGTTTATTCTACAGCTACAAATATGTTCCATATTCATTGTAAATGTAAGAAAATTAATCAATAACAATTATTCTTTTCAATTCATCTCCCTTCTCGTATTTTAAAGTAAATTAAAGGATACCAAACATGGGCTTAATTGCACCGTACCACAAGCATGTTTGACCCAATTTAAAAACCTTGTTTGACAATCGTTATTTGAGAAAAATAATATTTTGAATAGTAATTTTTTAGAGAAAGTATGGTTAAAAAAGTAAGATTTTTTTTGTTGAATTGACATACATAATATTTTATTGTATTAACGTGTAGTTGAAAATAAGCACGTAGAAAAAATAGTTTTTAAATAATGGTTATCAAACAAGGCTTAATAAGATTTAAATATTTTTTTTAAGATAAAAATAAAATGAGTAACTTATTTAACAGTAACATGAATTTTTTTTTTTTTTGAAAAAATATTATATTTTAAAATAAAAAAAGTCATTTAAAAGTCTATAAAAGCACGTTTTCAATGGTTTCATTACTAATAACATATAATTTTCTAACAAAGTTAAATTTTAATTTTAATCCAATGTTCACAACTATTATTCATTCATTATTCATATATTTTGTGAAATTCATTACTCATCTCATATAACGAGATCATAATGAAACCAGACACACAAAATTGGAAAAATTAGCCCACATATCCTTTTTTCAAAATAATCAAAATATTTCCCCTTTTATTTCTTATTAATATTTATATTGCTTAAAAATTTCTGAATAAAAACACCCTCTTTTACATTGTATGAATTTTTGACAAATCCTGATCTTAATTTAAATTCTCACTATCGCTGCTCCTCTCAACACCCTTTGCCTAGAGATGGCAATGGGGCGGGGCAGCCCCGCCCCGCACCACCACTCTCCCACCCCGTCTTGCCTCGTGCCCCGCCCCACCTTAGAAGGGGCGGGGCAAGTTCGGGGCGCGGGCTTGCCCCATTTATTATTATTTTTTTTTCAAAAACTTCCAATTAACTATTTTTTGCCATCACTACCTCTGACTTCATCTTCTACCATCTTCGATGACTTCATCTTCATCTTCATGTTCCACAACCACCACTACACTCACTTTTGTCTTTGCCACAGATCATGGCCATCTTTCTCCGTCACCACTCCTTCACCGACCACTGTTACACTATCAAATTTGATTTCAAATCTAAATAAATCACAATCCCATGCCCACCACCAACCCCCGTGCTATTAAAATTTAAGATATGCATCATCTTTTGTACTAATCAATCTTGTATCAGTTGTATGTATACAAACTTTATATATAGTTGATACACAGTGATATGGAATTATTTAAAACAGATAATATATATGTATATGTTACCGTGTCGATAACATAATGGTGGCGGCTTCAAAGTTGGTGTGGCATTTTGTAGTTGATGAAGGTTGACCGCGAAGAGTAACATAGGGTAACCATATGTGAATCATGCATAATATGTTGCTCGTATACATTTTGAATTCTTTCAATAAAAGTAATATTGTGTAACACAGCAAGTTACCTCTATAAAACACAAATTTTCAATAAAAAATATAAGATAAATGTTATATTCGTGAAGTGATGATTTTTAACAAAAACTAACATATTAAAACACAACATAATATCCCGTGCAAAATATTTATTTTTTAATAGAAAGTAAGATATGATACAAAATAAGGTACCATTTATAATGTTGTTTTCAAGTGAGAAGGTGAAATATTGGTTTTAAATGAAAAGAAGGTATTTTTGGGGAAAAAAAAAAGTAAAATGAATCAACTGAAAAGGATCAATTTTCGAATCATGCTATGCTGACACCCTCCATGACAGTACACTCACAATAGGGGAGAACTTTTTTGAATTTTTTGATCACTTGAGTTCCCTGCAAGTTCCACGCTCATGTGGGTGTCGATCAAGGAGTGTTGTACTCCTGGCAAATGAGCTTAGTTCTTAATGAAAATAAGGTACTTCTTAGAAAAAATTAAAAAATGAATGCATTTTTTAACTTTTGTCGTAAAAATGTATGGTAGTGATGCCCAAGGCCTGAGGCCCATTCTAAAGAGAAATCGAAGCCCGAATATGACCCACTATCACAGCTCACAGGCGAACGGGAAAAATTTATGGTTCAGGCAT